CCCCATACCCCAAGAGGCCCGAGCTGGCATCACACCACACATTCATTGACTTCTGCTAAATCAGATTTTGGTGCCATGCCAATCTGCTTGGAATACACCCCTGCTACCTGTAAAAAAACCTTTGACCAACGATTACCGGCCAGTACAGGATCTGAGGGAAGTAAACAAAAGAGTTATGGACATTCATCCCACAGTCCCCAATCCTTATACCTTACTCAGCACCCTAATTCCAGACAAAGACTGGTACACTGTGCTAGATTTAAAGGATGCCTTTTTTAGTCTCCCTCTAGCTCCACAGAGCCAGCCTCTGTTTGCCTTTGAATGGAGTGACCCAGACCAAGGACTCCACGGCCAGTTGATGTGGACCCATCTGCCACAAGGATTCAAAAACTCACCCACCATATTCGACGAGGCCCTACACGAAGACCTCAGTGAGTACAGACAGCTTCACCCCCAAGTCACCCTTCTCCAGTACATAGATGACTTGTTAATTGTGGCCAGCACTAAAGAAGAGTGCCTCTTAGCTACTGGAAATTTGCTGACTGCTCTGGGGAGCCGAGGATACCGTGTATCAGCCAAGAAGGCCCAGATATGTCAACAGACTGTAAGTTACCTGGGGTATGCCCTAAAGGGAGGCCAACGGTGGCTCACTCAAGCCCCTAAAGAGACAGTTTTAAAAATCCCCACTCCTACCTCTGCAAGGGGGGTGCGGGAGTTTTTGGGCTCAGCCGGATTTTGCCGGCTATGGATTCCAGGGTTCGCAGAGCTAGCCAGACCCCTCTATGAGGCTACCAAGAAATCACCTACCTTACAATGGACCCCGGAAGAAGACTTCCAGAAAATCAAAAAGGCCCTCCTGTCAGCCCCAGCTCTAGGCTTACCAGACATTAAAAAGCCATTTCATCTGTACGTAGAAATGAGGTCTGTAAGCACAATGTAATTTCCAGGTAGTCCCTAAGGCTTTGCTTAAGCTCTGCACTATCTGAGAGGTAAAAGCTGGCCCATTATCTGATCCTATTTGGGTGGGGAGTCCATACCTAGGCATGATTTCTTCTAATAGCTTCTTTGCCACAGTCTGGGCTGTTTCATTTTTGGTGGGGTAAGCTTCTACCCACCCCGAGAAGGTGTCTACAAATACTAGTAAGTATTTATAGCCATACTTTCCTGGTTTTTTTTTTTTTTG